ACCCAATCATAGCCTCGATCTCCTATAAGAAAGACTGATACTTGTGGTGAATAAATAGCCATCATTTTCAAGGGTTCTTTTTCACAGAACGGCAAATTATTCTTTTGGTAACAAATGAATATCAAATGACAAGTACAACCTTTCCATTTGGCCGTTGTTTTTAATATCATGTGTTATACTTAAATCACACACGTGTATTTTTTTTCAGCGAATTTTTATTATATTTGCAAATGAAAAAGTTGTACCTTACGAACAAGAAAGTAGTTGAAAGAAATAAAACTTTTCACATCTATGGGTGCGTTCGATTGGGAAACCTGGATTTAGATTTTGAAAATCCGGATTTCGGATTTGCAATCGAACGCGAAATCCGAAAACGGATTTCAACGCTGAGATATCTGTTTTTGGATTTTCATTTTTACCTTTCGATTGGGAAATCCGAAAAAGGATTTGAAAAACTGTCCTTAAGAACAGCGGTCTTGCACGCGCACGCATACTAAGCAAAAAGAAGACCACTGTTCACGAGAATAGTTTTGCAAATCCTTTTTCGGATTTCCCAATCGAACGGTAAAAAGGAAATCCATGAAATCCGGATTTGGATTTCTTAATTGAAATCCACCCTGAGGACGGATTTCTCGGAGGTGAAATCCGTTTTCGGATTGCGCGTTCGATTGGGAAATCCGGATTTAGATTTTGAAAATCTAAATCCGGATTTCCTAAGCGAACGCACCCTATGTTGAACTAAATTTACTTTGGTGGTTCNGTTTTGCAAATCCTTTTTCGGATTTCCCAATCGAACGGTAAAAAGGAAATCCATGAAATCCGGATTTGGATTTCTTAATTGAAATCCACCCTGAGGACGGATTTCTCGGAGGTGAAATCCGTTTTCGGATTGCGCGTTCGATTGGGAAATCCGGATTTAGATTTTGAAAATCTAAATCCGGATTTCCTAAGCGAACGCACCCTATGTTGAACTAAATTTACTTTGGTGGTTCTAATGGCCCAGGATTGCTCTGTACCAATGTCTGACTGTAGTTGTTAGCTTTAAGAGAGGATCAGTTCAAAGAATCACATACGCGATAATCACATATATCAAAGAGAATTTATAATAAGCGATCTCTCCATGCAAAACCAGTTACCGTATTTATTCGAATAAGCGCCCAACCTCCATCAAGCGTCCATCCTAAAGGCAGAAAAAGTTAGTAAGCGCCCAGCCTCGAAAAAGCGGCCACCCCCACCCCAACCCCCAACCCCCAACCCCTCCCATTCAAACTCAAATAAGCGCCCACCCCCACCCCTATGGTTGCCGAAATGTGTCAATATTCGATGTCGCGTATATGTGTTTGATAATTTCCACGTATTGACAATAAAATTCAAATATATTTGATTTTGTTCAATATACATTCGATAAACTTGTAGCAAAATTCGATAAATTCGCCTTGATATGCATTCGATTCTCTCTTACATTTATGAAAAAATTCAAGCAGTATTCATTCCGATCGATAATTTAAGCAATCTTCATTCGATGATTCGAACAAAATTCATCCGATAATTCAAGCAATATTCGATGATTCGAGCAAAATTCATGCGATGATGCACGTGACCTTTCTTCCATATTAGGATAGAAAGCTTGGCTACTGAGTTTACAATAATGGCGGAACAAATTGAATCAGGGACACCCAACGAGAATATAGTTCAAACCACTTAAACATAACGTTGTTAAACGTATTTTAGTATTTAAGAGCAAATGTCTGTAAAAATCGAGCAAAATCGAAATTTCGCGCCACAGTCAAAAAATCATTTTCGCTCACAGATAGGTATAAGTAAGTAATTAAACGTGGTGTAATTTGTCTTTTTAAAAGGCCGCTTGGATTTGGAGAAAATCGACAAAATCAATTTTCGTGGTCGGCGACTTGAAAACAACCAAAATTTGAGGCAAAATGAGGTGGTCTCAAAACTTCGCTCGCACGCACACAGGAAGAAAGCGGGGTAAAATATTCCCCGACAAATCAATTTATAAAGGGTTCTACTTCTGGTTTGGTGATGAATTCTTATCTTAACGGTAATCTGGAAGATAAACAATGTTATTTCAGTTTGGATTCTTTTTCAACTATTACGAAATTTAAATTAAGGCTGAAAGTTGCGTGTTATATTTTAGCAAGAGAGGATAAAGGGGACAGAGAAGGCATCCCCCATACACACCCTATTCCATAGGTAATTCGTCTCGAGTTATTTTTAAGACCACATATCCCGAGGGGGATTAGACAACAGCCAATCACATAGCTCAAATGTGTTCCGCGTGGATGACCCACGCTCAGCGCCACGCGTCCTTCACGAATTGACGCTGAAAAAAATGGCGGAAGACGCAGAGAGCGATATTGCTATTTGTTTTGTCGACGAAAATGACTAAAGAGAGATTTCTGCTAAAACTTCGTCAGCGAAACGGAAATTAAAAAAGAATCGCCCTTTCTCTTGTATAGAGCTAACAGTAAAACAGGGAAAT